GTGGCGCCCGAATTGCAGCATGGCGCCAGTTGTCCAAAATCCTACGGTACCAAAGGAGGGGTTTGGAAAAAGGGTGCCAGGCCGAAAACGGGATGCAGCCGAAACAGCAAAAGATAGACCAGGGATCGAGCCCTGGCGAAGTCCGTAACAGTCGATCTTCGAGATCGACGATCCAGATGGTGCCCGATTTGTCGGTGAAATCGGGCCTACCGGCCCCTTTTTTTTTTTTTTTTCACGGTCCACATGGTTTATGTAGGGGGCAAAAAGGGCCCCGGTGCCGTAAAAAAAAAAAAAAACCCTAACCTACAGTGATGCCCTGGGGGCGCCCGGTGGCCAACCGGGCGCGACAACCGGCCAGGCGGCCCGGCCCCCCCCCCGGGCGGCCTGGGGACCAGCACTGGTCTTTTGTGCATTTGGTGAGTAGAGGCCCTTAGGGCCACTGCACGTATTCCTGAGAAACGAAAAACGTGAAAAGAAAAGAAAAGCGAGAAAACAGAGAAATAGTGACCCATAACCTCCATGCACAGACCTGAATTTGAATCCCGACTATATATTCTCTGCCCACCCTCAGGGAGTACAAGTTTGAAGTGTATCTCTGCACGCACACACACACACACACACACACACACACACACACACAAAGGGGGTCCGAAATCCCCCGACAGGTGAGTGCGCTGGGGGGCCCCGGCCCCCAACCACGTGCCCTGCCCAGCCAGGCGGCCCGGGACCTCCCCCGGGCCTCTGCCGGTCACCCGGGCGGCCCGGATCCCCACTCAGGTTTTACCCCCATAAAAAATAGGGAACAAAGAAAAGAAAGGAAGGAGGTAGGGGGGGCAAAGAGGTGGAGGGTGCGAGTGGGGGGTGGGAGGCACAAGTGGACCAACCTCTGTTTCATTCCCATCCACAGTTCTGAATTTCGCTAATGCCCTCCTTATTCCATCTGTGAGGTCAACTGACGAAAAATTTGCAGCCAATCGGTCGAGAGATGCATTGTAATTGGCACACCGGTTAGGGTCATCAATCCCTAAGACTTTCTCCTGGAAAAAAAATCACACACATAAAAACAATCACAGGTAACAAATGAACAAAGAGGAAGAAAACAAGTTGACGAGATAATAGAAATGAACTGAATGAAAGAATCAGAACTAGAAAAATCAAAGACAAGAAGAAAAAGAAAAGGAAAAGGCAGCTATAGGGCATACAGCACTTTGGACCGCAGGCCACATGCCCATGTTTTCTGGGCGACCTGGAGGGCCATGGCCTTTGCTTTTTCTTTTTTTCCCAGCAAAGAATTCAATGCAACCACGGCCCTTTTCGTAGGCCTGTGTTTAATTTTGACCCACTCTTTTTTTTTTCATTCAGCATTTTGTGAGGATTGAGCCCTCATTGGGGCCTTGCCGACATGCATATGTTCTGGGCTAAGCCACCCAGCAAGCCTCATGCCTGCCCTAAGTGAAGGCGGGCCAGAATATCCACAAGAGGCCTCTCTTTCAGCATTTCACGAAGTGGGTATCAGACAGTTGCAGCACGCCAGTTGGTTGGAGTGCATCGTGAAGCCCAGACTCCTGCAGAAGCAGTTGGGCCCAGGGCCTCAGTTGGTTGAGCCCTGGGCACAAGCCAGGGGAGGCCGACACATCACACATTGGACGCTGGCCAATCAAAAAGCAGGTTGTCGTCATAAAGGCCGAGGGTGCCAATGGGGAACCGGCCCGCTATCTGAATCTGGACATCGGCCCTGGGCTGATGGGCGCAACTGTAAAGTCTGGGCCCCATCTGCATTGGGCCTGGACATAGGTACTGGGGCCCAGTCGCAGGCTAGAGTGAGCCGCACACGCGCCTACCACGGCATATAGGCAGTCTGGGCGCAGGGGAACGGATCTTGGCCAGTGCGGCATTGTCGGCACACTGCTGCATTGTGTAGCGAGCGCGTGCATGCTGCGCTGGGTGGTCAAGCGCGCTAGCGGGTGCAGAGGTGTGGGGCGCTGCAGGGCAGCGGGCGCCGGCAGCCATAGCCGAGCTGCTGGGCGCAGTGAGAGGTAGGGAGGCGAAGGTGGTCTTCGGGAAGAGGGCACGAGAGTGGGGAGACGGGATAGCAGTGGGGAGCAACAGAGGTACTTACCTGGCATGCAGAGAGGAGGTCGGCATTGGTGTTAACGTCAAGCACGCTGGTCTTCAAGTCGTCTGGTTGTGATCATGCTGTAGTTGTAGCTGTAGGGAGTAGTGTAGGTAGGGCGCCAGCGCCGTTCTGAAACGGTTTTCACCTTTTATCAGTAGCGGATGCAGTACCCAGGGTTCGATCCCTAGACCTCACCCTACCCATGTGCGGTATCTGTGTAGACCCCGAGAATTGAACCTGTGACATGTGTATTTGTAGGCAGTTGGTAGGCCTGTCGTAGGTCCATAGGTAGCAGGGGTTCGATCTGTAGGTCTATAGCGTAGGAGTCTTAGCGAGTTCCGGAAGCTTAGCTGTAGACCTTCTAGAAGGTAGGCAAGTGGGCAAGTGGTCAAGTGGTGAGGCAAGTGGTGGACTAAACCGCAGTGCAACAGCAGTACAACGTCGGTAGGATCGAGGTGAGTCCACAGTCAGTCAGCGGAAGGTCCAGTCAGTCCCAGTCCGGTCCAGCAAGTACCACAGGGGGACTGTGAGCACCAAGGGCCGATGGCAAAGGGCAAACCAACGAGTTTCTGAAGTATAAATCAAGAGGCAGCGCCCAGCCATTCATKSATTCCTGCGTGAGCCATGCGGAAGCGCTGCCACAGCGACTTGTGCAAGGAGGTCTGCAGATGAGCCCGGAGGACGCAGTGGGCTAGAGAGAGGGGGTTAGCATAGCGATAGGGTAGATGCAGCGACAGCTGCCATAGCTGTAGTTAGTAGTGAGTGTGTGTGTGTGTGTGTTCGAGTGTTAGAGTGATGCGAGTGGGATATCCAGGGTGATCCAGTGTATGTGAACAGTGAGATGTTTGGGCGCTGAAGTCGCCATATCCAATTGAGAGTGAACTCGTATCTGAAAGCCATATCTCTGAGTTTTGAGTGGGCGCAGGTCGCCAGTATGCTGCGTTGCTGTTTACATGCATGAAAAGTGTGTTTGAGAACGAGTCTGATTGCAGTTCAGAGAGAGAGCTACATTGGGTTCTGTTGTTGGTGTGGCCCTACGGGCTGGGACATTGACCTCACGATTCTGCTGTATCGTTCTCATATGAATGGTTTCTTGGTTCCAATGTGCCATCTGCTCTTTGTTTGACTACTTGGACTTCAGCGTGATTTGCAATTTGGATTTCTGTACTTCGCTCACATTCATGTTCCTTGCAATTTGTTTGTTTACAAATTTATTGATTTCTCATATGCTGCATTTTGTTTGGGACTGATTTTGTCTGGTCTGTTTCGTCCGTTCCAAGTTGTGTCGTTTCGGACTTTCCTTTTGTTCGAATCTGTCCAAACGGGCACTGTGCCTCTTTGGACCAGTGGATTTTGTTTTTGGCCGCGGTAGGCCAGGTTCGGCTTTGCCCGCATCTGGACTGGACCAGGCACTTGTCTGTAGTGCCTGGCCCAGTCCTCGTTCATCCTGGACCAGCTCTGCTGTATTAGCAGGGCCGACTGGACGTCCGGTGGGGACACAGGCAGTCCGAGTTAGGCCAGGGATGCCGAACCAGGACTTGGGCCTGCAACCAGGACAATCGATCAGACTCTAGATCTAACAGCCCTGATTGAGGGCAGTCCAGCCAGGCCCAGAGGTAAATAGCCAGGCCAGTCCTCCAGTTTGAGGACAGAGCGCTGGAGCACTAGTCGGGTGTCATGCTGCTGGAGTACAGCGCCATTCTGGGAGAGCTGCGTTAGAGTAGCAGCATTAGAGGAGTAGGAGAGCAGTCTGAGAAGGAGAGGCTTGAGGAGTCTATAGCCACGAGGGTCAGAGAGGCCTACCTGGCCGCCATTGCTGGGACTTCACACTGGTATGGGACCGGCCTCCATCAGCGACCTGCATTAGCTCAAGTTGCTACCTTTCGCTGGTCAGTATACACGGGCGTCATCATCATTATCAGTGGAGAGAGAGCGTGAGTCCTTCTCCTAGTTCCCCCTGATTCGTCTTTTGACCCTCCATAGCCGCTTCCTGCTGCGGACAGTGACAATACCGGTCATCTGGGAGAGTTCTTCTTCTTCTTCTTCTTCTTCTTCTCCTCCTCCTCCTCCTCCTCCTCCTCTTCCTCTTCCTCCTCCTCCTCCTCCTACTATACTTCTTCTTCTTCTTCTTCTTCTTTGGAGAGTGACTATTTCAGACATTTGGACACCCAGGATTTGGAATTGACATTTTGGTGGAGAAGACTTTTGGACATTGTTGGAAGACTATTGTCAGCTATCATCAGCTAGTCTTCTAGTCCTCTACCTCCTTTCTTCCTCCACCTTTGTCTCTTCCCACCTCCATCACCTGTGGCCCTTCTTCAGATGTGACTGCGAGCAAGGAGGGACCTTCCATCCATGTAAGTACAAACTCCTTGCAATTCTACATGTGTGATGATGTTTGCGTGCGTCGACTCTGTCGAGTCAGATCATGACATGAGTCTTCCGCTGTGCTACATCGCTTTTCAGTGCTTCATTTTTTATTCACGTTGCTGTTTCTGAGTCTTTCATTCACATTGGTGATTGTTCGAAGTCTCCACACTGCGCAAGTGTTGATAGGCATTGCCAACTGACGGTCTTTTCCTCACCCCTGGCCACAATCCTCTCTCATCGACCTCTCCGATCGCTCGCCCCTTCTCCCCCACCCCATCCCCTCTCCCCCAGCCTCCTCCCCGGCGAACATCCCCTCATGCAGCTATCAGGGAGGCCGCATGGATACCACAATGTGAATCGGCACAGAAAGCCTTACCAGCAAGTTAACAGCTCCAAGCACCAATAGCCAACTCAGAAGCGCTACTATCAGTCAAGCAAGCGTCAGGAGGGATCACAAATGATCAGCAACACAGCAAGGAGCTTAGTTATGTTCACGAGGGATCAGTGTAGCGAATGATCAGCTATAATTCTTGTATGACAAGGGAAGCAGGACCCGGTTTCCAGCCGCTGTATCTCCCCAATAACAGAGGAAACCTTTGTGCAGGGAACCAGCTCAGGATGGTGGTTTTATCACCTGCTTAAGTGGAAATCCCGATGTGAAGTTTCCGGGAAAAAAGAGTGTTAGAGCACACTCACACAAGGAATCTGAGATGCATCTGACCGTTCATGCGGCCAGAGTTGATTGAGAAAGTCGGAATACCACCTAAACACACAAGGTGCGCCCGGAATGACACATTTGCGCTCCACAAAAGCTGGACGTGAGAGCTGGGAGAAACCCCCCACAGCCACTGCCATACCGATGCAGAACAAAGGCCCCACTTGCATGGGTTACGGTTACCGGCCATTGAGGACAGTATTACTTAAGCCATGCAGGTCGGTCTTAATCCTAGGATTTTACTACACATGAAAGTTGATGAAACTCCAAAACGAGAAAAAAGTGTTCATATGAAACCGGCCTTCTGAAAAAAAATCAATAAAATAAAATAAAATCAACGCCCTTTAAGACCCACAAGAGTCGCAAGCACAGCACAAACAACCGTCAGTACAGTCCTGGGCACAGAAGAAGCACTGTACTGAGTTGACCTGTTTCAGCTCGGAGTTCCTGAATACCCTTGCTGGACTGCACCTGTAAAGGAAGGTCATAGTCAGGTGCACGGTGTGCACCTAGGCATCTGAACCATGCAGGTAGATTCAGACGGGGCTAATTCATCATTTTTCTTACTTGAAAGAGGCCCTTGCTGTCCTCACCAGTGAATGCAACAGCAGAATCCTATTTGCAATTGTCGCAGAAAAAAGAAGGAAAAAAACACAAGCAGGTCAACTGGCTTGGGGGGAAGGGGTTTGGAAGAGGTAACAAGAGATGAGGTTGCCAGCTCCGTCAATTCTTCGGTTCTGGCCGTGAATCTTCATGAACTACGGTCAGAGACAAAGATTCAGGGTAACTGGGACCTTATACATACCAGTTCAGTCTCAATGCCTGCTGGGTGTGTAGTAAGCGCGACACTGTCGAATTGGCGAAATGTCTTTGCCAGACCATACAGTGTTTTCTTTACTATATCAATCCTTAAGGTTTGAGCCAAAACGCCATCCCAACTGATCTGGTCATCCATGCCATTTGTCAGATCAACAAGGACCGACACTCGCTTCTTTGGAGAAGATGCCTCTGCAAACCTACAAGAAAGACAAATTGTGAAATTCAATGAGAGTAGGGAACTTGTCATCAGGTTAATCGTAAACGCTATAGGGTTTAAACCACCAGTTCATGGCCCCAGGCAACTGGAGAACCTGTTTGATCCTCTCCTAAAATTTAGGGGGCTGAGTGTCGTAGATCAAATGAATCCGTGGTGGCCGGCCTCCGAAAGGGGCCCACGGCCGATAGCTGGCATGTACTGGTCCTTTTAGCTAGAGCTGTTGCCGGTTAGACAAAAGTGGACCTTTTTCTTTCCTCTCATTTTGGGCGGGGCTTGGTGAGGAAGAGCATGCGAAGGGAAAAAAAGGAGGGGAAGGGGGATGGCGCAGGTTCTCCCCATTTTGTTCAATAACATGCTATACTCTCTAGAGTTTAGCGTCCCAAGGAGACCATGAAGAAGGAACTTAAATCACATTGACTCAGCAACAAAGCAAAAATTTAAAGGAGAATCAGCAAGCCATTCAAACTTTTCATAGTTTTCCTATTTTCTTTTGGTGCATGCTGACAATGAAGAGCAGAATTCACAAGGCATTAATCAACCCAACTCGTCTCCAATCACTCAGAACAAGCATGGCACTCTGTTGGCCATAGTGGTGCCTCGGATAGGACAAACTTGCAAGTAGGTAGAACTACAAGGACAGAACTGAAATCAGGCACCGGATGGACTTGTGACAAGGCTAGGACGTACAGAGCAGATTCTGAAGTAGAGTTTGGCTAGTACCTGGTAGGGATAGTTCAGCAGCTCACATAGGCCCAAGTGAAGTCCAGTAAACTTAGAAAGGTCCAGTAGCTGTCAAAAGAGGTAAGGATTACTTAAGGCCGTATGTGCAAAGATTTCAGGTTAGGTACACGTCCTGAGGTGGGACTTTAAACTGAAATGATGTTCCTGCCAAACGACATGTACTTCCGGTGGGCCTCGTGCAACAGATTAGGGAGAAACTCCACACAGGAAGGTCTGGAGGCCAAGTGAGGTACAAGGCGACTGAGCACATGAGAGTTGGGCTGGAGGGTGAATTACCTCCATGGCTATGGAGTAGTAGGGAAAGATAGCAGAAGCGTTGGGCTATGGAGTTGAGGCAGATGGACCTCAGCTGGGCTATGAAACTCTAGAAAAGTTTAGGAATGAGGGAGGAGGTGGGATCCGACAAAAAGACGGACCTTAAACCACCAGTCCAACTACCCCTGTACTGTAGATTTTTTTAGAGGACAAGTACCGTGGCAAAATCTACAGTGATCAGGCATGGCAGAGTTTCAGAGGAAAAAGGCTGGTAGTCCCACAAAAAAGCGTTGAAAACAAAATTCAATATTGTAAGGACCTTCCGAAACGGAGGTCAATTGGAGCAAGACCGAAGGATGGTGGCTGGCAGATGAGACGCCCCCCCAACCCGAGGGCACAGCCATAACCATGCCGTGGTCCACAAGCGAACAAATACTCAGATACCTAGGCATCATGGTCAACAGGGACGGGGTGTGGCCGGGGATGGGCCACGGCTTAATTGCCAAAGCTATAACCCGCCTGGCCCCGTGCAAGAATGCACAGGCATCGCTGTTCGGGAGGGCATTAATTATAAACACAGCCGCCGGACGTCAATTTCCAAACCATAAAGGCCAGAGCAAGATGCTATCTATGGACGGGGGATCCCAATCGTACCTCATGCATAAACAGGGTGGCATGGAGCCACATTATTAGGAAACCACAGGAGGGAGGCCTAGGCCTAATTGACCCCAAGCAGGAGGCAACAGCACTACAGATGAAATGGTTCATTAAGATCCTGACCACACAATACCTACCTTGGACCATGTTGGCTCTAGACAGCATAAGAAACCTAGCACCGATAAGTTCCCCATCAGACATGAGCGGCTACTTCTGGATTATGGCAAAGTAGTGGACGATAAGATCAGGCAGATCCTGCAGAATCACCACACGAAACTCGGACAGCCAGGCAACCCCAACACCCATTCCGTACTGGGCCCCGACTCTGAAGGCCTGGTGACGTATGAGGCCAAGCAAACATGGCACAGCAGAAACCAAAGAGGAGGTCCTGAGACAACCGCTGTTTTGCAATGATTGGATCAAGGACCCCGAGGGTTGCCCCTGGTCGTTAAGAATTAAGGACCGAAGATGGCTGTCGTGGGTCGAGAAAGGGGTGTGGCAGGTTAAGCACATGTGGGCAGAAAAACGGGGAGAATGGCGGAAGGAACAAGAACTCCAAAACACTCTAAAAGGCTGTCACACTCTCGCAGAAAACCTACTCACAATCCAGAAGAGCATCCCACCCCATTGGATTCGCCTCTTGAAAGAGGACTTCTCCTGGAAACCAGGGGACTGGGGTTTAATCGTCTCCCAGACTTCACCAAACAGAGCATACCGGTTTGTATCCCACACCTGAACCACCGGCCGCCGCTCCAAATTCTACTTCTACCCTATCGCCAACCCTAACCTTCAGGAACTAGCCATCCTTAAAAGAGGACCTCAGCTAGAGACCATAGAGTCCTTCCTACTGAGAAAAGTGAGGGTTTCGAGAACCAAACCATGGGTAATCTTCCAGCCCGACCTCAGCAACGCAGAGCTCGAATTCGACCCCAAGGAGTGGGTCTGGAAACAAAGCAAATCCGGAAAAAACAGGACGATATTGGAATACGACGTGAAATTCGGGTACAATTTAGGCCTACAGACCACGGATCCCAACCCCAAACATGAAAACAGATGGAGAGAGACATTGAACATAGAGCCAACAGCCTCAATGTCCATCCCATGGGCAAAATAACTCCCCATAAGACCAGCTAGAATCCGTAGCTTACAGTGGCTCCTAAACCACACCGCACTCCCTGTCAACCAGTGGTTCCTGTCGCATACCGTAAAGGTGCACACAAGAACAAGAACCGACCTCTCTCACATAGTACAAGATAGCACAGCGGAAGGATTAAACACCAATGCTCCGAACAATCAATGTTGCAATGCAGACCAGACATACATCATCATCATTCCATGGTGTGAAGGGGCCTGGCGTTCACACAGGAAGAATGCGCCAGTCCCCAACCATACACAGACGAAGAAGAGGGGGGTTAGATGAAGAAGAGGGGAAGATGGGAATGTCGTTAACACCAAGTCTTCGGTACAGGTCCCAAATAATCCCTCGTCAAACGCTTGAATCCCAATGTCGAGTCTGGATCCAAATGTCGTCAAGTGCCGAAGTCACCAATCTCTCTCTCTCTCTCTCTCTCTCTCTCTCTCTCTCGTAGTCTGCGGATGCTGAGAAGTTAGGTAGCGAGAGGTTGAGGGGGAGATGGTGGGCTTAGAAGAGGAAGGACTCTCTCTCTCTCTCTCTCTCTCTCTCTCTCTTTGTCTGGTACTAACCTTTGAAGGTGGCGCCTTGTTGCAGGTACATCGAAGACGAAGCTGGAGTTGTGGCGCCACAGCTAAGTCTCCCTGGCCTCCGCCAACCATCTCTCTCTCTCCAACACTACTCTAGCTCCTAATAGCGCCCAGTGCTAAAGACCTCGTGACTACCTTCAGACTGCAGTGCAGGACAGTCTTATATAGTGCTGGCCCGTCCAGGAGGCTGCTCTTGCCAATGCCAAAACGTGCCAGACCCTGGTGTTGAAGTTCAAACAAGGCTTGTCTTGAAAACAGGCCAAAAATGGCCTGTGCTAAAACCCTGGTCTGGTGCCTAAGTTTCACGGTAGGTCGATCTTATGAGGGCCTAAAAATGGCCCTCGGTTTCAGGCTGAAAAGACTCAGGGCCTGGAGGGCCCTGTTTTAGGCTGAAACGACATAGGGCCTGTACGCCCTCGTTTTCAGGCTTTCAGGCTCAAAACGGCACAAGGCCTGTAGGCCCTTGTTTTCAGGCTTTGAGGCTGAAAACGACACAGGGACTGTAGGCCTTTGTTTTCATCCTCGTAGGCTGAGAACGCTCGCCGGGCCCTGTGTGGCTGCGCAGCATGCCACCCCCCCCCCCTCTCCTTGAAAGACCGAGCTTGTCGGCGAGGGCGAAGCTGTCTGTCTGAGGGAGGGACCAAAGTCCAAGTGGGAGGGGCAGGTCGTGAAGCTCCCTTAGCTAACCTTTGTCGTTCGTAGTGAGCGTAGATCATTGGTGCGGGTGCTTTCAAATCTGCTCCTGAAATCCATCGAGTGTCCTCGGGATGGCATGCTTTGAAGGTAACTCTGTACTGTCGAGGCTTGCTGTCGTACTTGCAATCCGTGATGACGCGGTCAACTTCCTGATGACCATCCATAGATGGAGGATCTTACGATCGTCGGCCTGGGAAGTCGTCACTCTTAGCTGGTGTATATGTTGCCAACTTCGAGGCATGAAAGACTAGATGGACCGTCAGATGCGGGGGGATGTTGATCACAAATGAGGGTCCATTGGGCTCATTGCCCGCGGCTGATGTTACAGGCCATGGTCCAAACCACTTGGGGAGCAGTTTGCACGAAACATCCTGCTCGAGTGCAAACTCTCCCGCGGAGACCCAAACCAGATCACCGGCGCGGATGGGACATGGCACGCGACGCCTGTTGGTTTGCTGTTGCATGCAGACTATAGCCTTTTGCATGTTTGTGCGGGCTTGCGCCAGCAATTCCCTGTGTCTATGTTCGTCGTTCGTGGGAAGGGAAGATCAGTGAAGATACGGCCTTTCCGGCCACCGTGGTGCAACTCGAATGAGTCGCTCCATCGTCGGATGCAACGAAGTGTTGTAGGCGAACTCGATGTCGAGGAGGCGGTCAACCCAATCCTTCTGATCCGAACGGATAAGCGTACGAAGTATCATTTGAGCGGTTTGATGTGCCCGCTCCGTTTGCCCGTCCGTTTGTGGATGCCGAGCCGAACTTGGTTTCATCTTCGTGCCGGATTCTTGCATGAGAGAAGTTCAGAATGCCGACATGAAGCGAGTGTCACGGTTGCTGACGATGTCTTCCGGTACGTCGTGGCTGCAAATCCAGCCGGTGTGCAAGAGGTGCGCAAGTTTGGGAGTCGTGGCGTAGTACTTGCAAGGGAGAAACCACACGTACTTACTCAAACGGTCAACGACCGTGAGGATGCCGCCGTGCGCGAGGCGGTCGCGGGGAAACGGACCGGTGGCGTCCATGGCAATGGAGAGGCCGTGTTCCCGTGGGATAGGCATCAGGCACAACTCACCATTGGGATTGCGGTTGTGGGGCTTGCTTCGTTGGCAAACTTCGCAAGAGTCGCAATACCGAGTGACATCGGTAATGAGGTCGGGCCTTCGAAATTGTTGCCGAAGTCGTGCAATAGTGCGATTGTCTCCAAATGGTCGGCGAGTCGTGAGTCATGGTTCTCGCCGAGAAGGCGAGTCTGAACACGACGGTCTCGTGGGACACACAATAAGTCCTTGCCTCCCGAGTGGAGGAGCAAGTATCCGTCGACGATGCGAGTGGCTCGCTGTCGGGTGATCCGAAGATAGTTGTGCATACAACGTGGCGAAATTCGGATCGGACTCGTAGCCCCGGATGAAGTGTTGCTGGAGTTCCTCGTCGAATGTGAAGGCATGATGTGTCATAACGCAAAGATCGGGTCTTCGCGAGAGTGCATCCGCTGCGCGATTGGAGAGGCCGGCGAGATGTTTCGGTGTGAAGTCAAATTGGWCGATGAAGTACATCCATCGTCCGATCGTGCTGCTCACCGTATCCTGCGTCTTGTAGTAGGTCAACGGGTTGTTATCCGTGACCCATGTGAACCTACGACGCCCAAGGAGGAAGTGCCGCCATCGCTTGAGAGCCATCACGAACGCGAGCAGCTCCTTCTTCCTTGCATCATCAAGTGAATTGATGGGAAGCACTTTGTGGCTGAAATACTCAACGGGGTGCCTGTCGTCGCTGTTGTGTTGTTCCAAGATTGCCCCAATGCCATAGCCGGAAGCGTCAGTTGTCACTCTCGTTGATAGGGTGGGGTCGTAGATGCTAAGGACGGGTGTCAAGAGCATAGCCGTCTTGAGTGCTTGGAATGACCGGCGTGCGTCGTCATAGAATACGAATGGCATCTTGGGTGATTGTAATCTCGTCATAGGTGCGGCAATCCTTGAGTACCCGGTGATGAAGCGTTAATAGTAGCCTGCCAACCCCATGAATGAGTGAACGTCCATGGTGTTGGTGGGCTGGCTCGGGCCATACGCGGATGGCCTCGATCTTGTCCACAAGCGGATGGATGCCTTGCGGCGTCACATAATGTCCCAAGTACTCCAGCTCTTGCCGCGTGAATTCGCATTTGTCGCGGTTGGCTTTGTACTTGGCTTGTCGTAGCCGCTCCAAAACGGTGTGCAGGTGCTCCACATGCTTGTCCAAACTCCGACTGTACACCAAGATGTCGTTGAGGAAGATGAGTACAAATCTATCCAGCATGTGTCGAAACTCCGTTGTCATAGCCGCTTGGAATGTGGTCGGGACATTCGTAAGGCCAAAAGGCATAACCAGCCATTCGAAATACCCATATCGCGTCTTAAATGCGGTCTTGTAGCGGTCCTCCTGCCGGATCTCGAGTTGGTGATATCCCGATTTCAGGTCAAGCTTGGAGAAGAACTTGGCGCCGCTCAGCCGTTCGAGGAGGTTGTTGATGCGAGGAAGAGGGCCGACGTTCTTGACGGTTTGCCCGTTTAGCTTGTGATAATCGATGCACAACCGCAAATCCTTGTTCTTCTTCCGGACGAAGAGAACCGGACACCGTATGGCGAAGAGCTAGGCCGAATCTAGCCTTTCTCGAGAACGTCGTCGAGTTGTGCCCGTAGCACACTTAACTCTTTCTCACTCAAGCGGTAGATGCAACCACGCGGAGGTACGGCCCCGACCTCGAGGATGATCTCGTGGCGGATGGGACGATCCGGTATTACTCCCTGAGGGGCTTCGAACACGTCGTCGTAGGCATCGAGAAGCTCGGTGATGCGTGAATCCGTCGATGAGATGTCATGGGGAGGGAGGGCGTGGAAAAAACACACACCCATCTCCTCGATGTCGTCCCGGGTGATGGAAGCTCGAATGTTTGCGGCGGATACCACGTGACAGCTGATCGAAGGATGAGGTGGAGGCACCGTACGCGAAACTAGTACTTCGTTCCGATCACGAACGTGAACGGTGCGGCGATAGAAGTTCACCGGGTGATCCTCGCTTCGCAGCCATGACATGCCCAAAATCATGTCGAACGTGGTGTCCAAAATGTCGAAGGACAAGGCCTCGCTTGCATGCGGGGCAAAGTACACGGGGACAGCATCAATGCACCGGTCGATGTGTGTGACCGTCGGCCAACGTGAGTTGCGTGGGCTGCGACTTCCTCCGAACGCGTGGCCCAAGGCCAACGCGTACCGTGAAGTCTTGGCTCATGTAGTTGCGAGTAGCTCCGCAATCGATCAAAGCGCTGCAGGTCGCCTCTCCAATCTGAATGCGTATGTACAACAATGGCGCATTGATGTCGTCGTACCGTTGTGTCTTGAACTCGCAGTCGATCTTCGCAACGGAGTCCGGCGTCCATCAACGGAGCTGGTACTGTAGTGTGCAAGTAATCCCGCAATTGCGCCATGAGCATGTTGCAATGCGATTTCGACAATCGACTCGAAGGGGGAAGGGGCATCCATTGGAAGTCCGCAAACTTCAGCGGGTTGAGCTCTTCAAACTTGGTGTCCAAAATGTCGAAGGACACGACCTCGCTTGCATGTGGGGCAAAGTACACAGGGACAGCATCAATGCACCGGTCGATTGACTTGTGTGTGTGACCGTCGGCCAACGTGACTTGCATGGGCTGCGACTTCCTCCGAACGCGTGCCCCAAGGCCAGCGCGTACCATGAAGTCTTGGCTCATGTAGTTGCGAGTAGCTCCGCAATTGATCAAAGCGTTGCAGGTCGCCTCTCCAATCTGAATGCGTATGTACAACAATGGCGCGTCGATGTCGTCGTACCGTTGTGTCTTGAACTCGCGGTCGATATTTGCAACGGAGTCGTGAAGGTCGACAACCTCTACTCCGGCGTCAATCAACGGAGCTGGTACTGTAGTTTGCAAGTATTCCCGCAATTGTGCCATGAGCACATTGCAATGCAGTTTCGGCAATCGACCGGACGGGGGAAGGGGCATCCATTGGAAGTCCACAAACTTCAGCGGGTCGAGCTCTTCAAGTCTTGACCATGACGTCTAATCCCCGATGATAATTGGCGGCGAAGCTGCCGAATCGGTTGCCGATGGTGGTGAAACCGTGCATGCGGTGCATTGTTGCACGTGGAGTGGTTGGTCCAACGGTGGGACCAAGTGGACAGCGTAATCCTCGAAAGTGAACCGAGGACTCGCAACATTCGCATCCTCCACAAATGTGTAGGAGGCAGCTAGCAAGGCGGCCAAATCTGGTGGAGTGAGAGGTGGAGTTGCCTCACCTCCCGCGCAACTCAATTCCCCGAGTTGATGCGATGCCGAACATCCTCCTTGCCTTGATCCGGGCATTGGGAGGACATGCACTTGGTGCTGTTGCACCAATAGCAGCAGCCATACCGGCCGCGCCACTTGTATTCGGCCTTAGTCAAGTGAAACTTGACCCATGGTGTTGGCTGTCCGTTTCCGGCCGGCGATGCGGTTTTTGCCTTCCCTTTTCCTCGGGAGTTGTTGTTGCTTCGTGGCTGGACAGCGGCCAGATGATCTCCCTCACGTGATGCTTGGGTGGCTGCCGGGTCTTCCACAATGTTGTCCGGTTGGACTGCAGCAACATGCTGCGCGCACGGACCAAATTTTCCTTTCTCCACAAAGGTTGGCTGCCACGCTGACTTCTCGTGTGCAGCCGCCCTATTGATCTTGATGATCTCCCTTGCCTTTTCGATGATTTCGGCGAAGGTCGTGCAATGCTCGCGATCACCAAGTGTGAGGCTCAAGGCGGCACATGACCGGTTGTAGAACTCCAGGCTCAGATGCAAAAACGGCAACTCGAGATCAGGCGTTGCAGCGGTCTTTTGCCCTTTTGTAAGCCAGTCCGGTGTCGGTGTGTTGCCTTGGGTCACCGCGAAGAGGCGGTTGATGGCGAGCGTCAGGGCGTCGTCCACAATGAACCGCTTCTTCCATAGCCTCGTCAACACTTCCCAAGAGATCTTCTCATGTAGATCGGCGACCTGGACGCCGTGGATAGTCGCCAGGTGGTTGAGCCAGATCTGGCATCCACCCTTTGAGTTGAAGAAAAACGCGTCGATGTACAACTGCTCGGGGACAAAATAAATCCGAAGTTTCGCCGTAAAGCCCTCCCACCAGGGGACCGGGTCTTGATGCGTATAATAATCGAACTTTTTGATGCGGTGTCGGGGCACGAACCCTAACAAAGGTATTTGCCGGGGTTTTTTGAACGTCGGACGAGGTCCAACTTTTTCTTGTTGAATTGAAGGACTTGATGAGACTGACGGTTGCCAAAGATTATTAAGACCTGACCTATGACTAGAGGATTAAAAGTTTTTGAATTCTGGTCTGGACGCGTGTAGCGTCCAGGAGTAACGGATGTGAATGGCAAGGCTTCGCTTTTGTCGCGTGCCGCAGGAGCGTGAGGACATGGGAACGTTAAAATTAAACCTATTCTACCTATAAGCAGTCACGCGATTCAGGGCCTAACTAGGCTAGAAAGATGGATGCGCCAGTTATAGGACCGCGGCGCGGGTGAGAAGAGTTACCTTTTTTTTTTTTTTTTTTTTGGGTTGTGACAATTGACTCCGCGCTGGGGCCCAAGGCCGGACACGCAGTTAACAGGGTGCCTTGCCGGGCCACCGGGCTGAGTTCACGCCGGTTAGGTAGCGGGGTGTTGCCTTTAGCAGGGCGAGGCCGGGTTAAACCTGCCTAGGCCTCAACTATCTAACCTACTTGGCCGCAGCCCTTCAAATAGAAGGGCCGCAAGCATAGCTCTCGTGATAGGAGCTAGCCTAGTAGGTTACAGTACATAACTTTCACCGGGCAGATACCGGGATTGAACCCAAGCCTAGTAGGTTACAGTACATAACTTTCACCGGGCAGATACCGGGATTGAACCCAATGACCTGCGACTAGGCTAGCTCCTTTTGATAAGAGCGGCCCAGTCTCCTGAGGTACCGCGGTCGATCTCGACCGCGTGATTTCTGAGATCGCACGACCGAGATCGGGCCGCGCTGACTACCATGGCTTGCGCAAGGATAACACGTATGAATAAAAAATAATAATAATAATAATATATAAATCGCCACTTGGCGCTCCGTGAAACGACAGGGGACGTGTTTTAGGGAAGATTCTTCATTTTTTTCTTTTTTAGATTTTGTTTTAGATTTTTTCTTAGATTCTTGGTTGAGTTTTCTTTTTGACTTGAGGAAAACCTGAATGAATGCACCCGTTCGTTTAAGGCGAACGGGAAGGAAAAAACAAAAAACTAAAACTATACCTGGAATGAAGCCCCACTTCGCGCCGTGTGAAGTGAAGAGGACTTGAAGTCCCCAGAAGACGTCGACGCCCGTTCTAACGGGCGATCGTTTCGAAAGGTAGKTKYYTTTTTTTTTTTTTTTTTTTTCCTTTAAGTTTTCCTTAGATTTTYTTTAATTGGATTTTYTTTTTTWTTWTTGCTTCTTTAGATTTTCTTGGTTTTTCTTTTTCTTCTTCTTTATGACCCCCCGTTTTCTAAGGACTGTGCCCGTTTGCTGTAGAGAAACGGGTCACAACCTTCATGTGAAAGCGATCGAACCTGGCACTCATATAGTACCAGATACGGGCGGGCTAAGGGGAACCTAGTGAGAGAGAGAGGAAGAGGTGGCAGCCAGCACGCAAAGCGCCCGTTCGGTTTTTTTGGGCAAAGCTCGCTAAGCCGCGCGCCTGTATCTGGCGCCCGTTTGAGCCACATACAGGCGTGGGACAGGGGAAAGAAGCCCTTTTGGGCCTAACTCCAGGTAAACTCAGGGAAGTGGAAGTGGTGCTCGTTCGTTTTCAAACGACGAGCTGCCCCTGAATTAAGAAAAACAAGAAGAAGAAAAAATGGGTGACGGTCGTGTACGTGGCCGCGGGGGTAGATTAGATACAGGGGTAGGAAGTAGAAGACGAGGGAAAAGATGGGAAAAAAGGAATGTCGCGAATTTAAACGCGACGTAGGGCCAGATGCAGCACTAGAAGCATCTAGGCCCTGAGTTGAAAGCAGACTGTTGAATTCCAACGGTCTGTTTTCAATGGCTTGATACAACCATTTTGGACTGCATCTGGCCGCGGGCGACGGCCAGCTGCATTACTAAGGCCAGGAACTTGATTCCCCTAGGGGAACATTAAGATTTACAGCCGTTGATCTTGTTTGAGATCAAGGGCGAGGCTCTAATCCGAGTTTTGGCTGGGGGCAAAGCTGCTGCCCTCAGCCCTTGGCTGGCTATAAAAGAAGCCAGCAGCCAGCCAGCCAGCATTCATTCGTGGTTGATGCTGCTGGCATTCCACTTGAGTGAGCGCTCGTTGCTGGAGGAGAGGCTGCTGGATGGAGTAGAGAGTGGGAGAGGTGAAGAGAGGAGGACTGCAGAGGAGTTGGGGTTGGAGGCTGCTATAGCCACCATCCCCGCAAGGAGGAAAAAGGCCACTGGAGTGGCGCAACCGCAGCATAGTTGGAGGAAACACATGCTGTCGTAGCCACGGTTGTTGGCCAACGGCAGGCATAATTGGGACAGTGAAGGGGAGATGCTGGGCGGCAGCGGCAGTTTTTGTTGACGTACTGCGGAAGCGCTGCCGAATTTTTGCGGCGACAACATCGAGCTTGACGGCGGTGGTGCAGAATCGCTGGCGAAATTTTGCAGCAACAGCACCGGAGCGGAAGCGCTGCCGGATTTTTGCGGCGGCGGCACTGGTTTTAACGGTAGTAGTGCGGAAGTGCTGCCGGGTTTTCACGGCGGTGGCAGCAGTATTTTTGCACTGATAACATAAAGCGGTGACTGGGCATTGGCGCAGGGAAGGTGCCGCTGAGGTGGTGGTGCGTTTTGAAATAGTGTGAGCGTGGCACCATTAGGACGTGGTGACATTGGAGGAGAGTGACAGCGGCATTGAGACGCTGTCAAGTTGTTGGGGGTAAATGGGAGTAATGTGTCAGGCGGTCGTCACAAGGGAATGGTGCGGATCACCTTGCTGACGACTTTGTTGTGACAATCTTCTCATCTAAGGGCATTTTTTTTAGGCATGCGGCACCTACGTTTTTAGTCAAGGTCACCTTTATTTCTTTTGCGGCGCGCACTGCACATGGGGTTTGAGTTTGGGACTACCTAGTATTGCGACGATGGTCTGGGACCATTTGGGAGTGAGACTAAGACGAGTATTGTGGCAGACAGGTGGTGATCAGGTTTGGTAATTGGTGGAAGATTGGATTGGAGATTGAGGTGGCGTTGTTCTCGGTGGGAGGGGTGCCGCTAAGACTGTAGTGGGACTACGTGAGGCTTGAAAGTGGGAACACCCTCCTCGAGGGCTATCTAGCTTCAGTCCTAGTGGGCGGCGTCTGTGTTAGTGGTGACGCCTGAAGGAAGACGTGGATGATTTTTTTGTGAACGGCCACAACGTGAGTTGTGTGACCAATCTCTTTGAAGGAGTATTTGACTTTCTTGAGTGAGCCGTTTCAACTTCACTCAAGGTCACATGTGACTCAGCTTCCCTTATGCACCTGTGTGAACTCACACCCTGCATGACCTTGCTTGGATTCAGGGAGAAGGTAGGGTAAAGTGTGTGATGTCATGCATGTGGGAGGGGGTTGACTTTGGTTGGGGTATGGACGGTTTTGGGTTGTTGTTCCTGTTTGGTTGTGCAGGTGGGTAGATGGATGCATGTGAGAAGGGATCAGTGCTATGCTTACTCAAGGAATGATGGGAATGTTCACCTTCTTTCCACTTTTACCTGTATGCCATTTTCACATGTATGCATATCAAAAAGAAGGATATATTAAAGGGTGAATTGACGGGTGACGGAAAAGAGAATACGCAGAAAACCAAAATGAAGACAAGGAAAAATTTAGTATCTCCCCTAGGATTCTCCCGTTCTATCCCGAATGGCCATTTTCTTCTTGTACCCGTCCAAAAGAGTCTTGATTTCCTTCCAAACTATCCTTCTTGATTCGTCTAAGTCAATCTTCAGCGTGGAAGCATCGAGAAAGTTGTTTGCACCTAAGGATCGACGCTTCTCCTCTCTAGGAGGCATTTGGGGCGGGGGTTCGTTGCTTTAGGAGTCGGCCCTGTTAGCGACCCAGAGTGGACCGTTTCACGGAGGAATACTATGTTGTATCGAGGTGGAGCCAGCCCAACTTCTGAGTCCTCAACAATGTGTTTGGGCGAGGAGGAGGGGTATTCCAGACCACTTCCTAGAGGGTAGGGTGTCTTGTAACTAAGAGTAATCACTTTCTCATGCTTTCGAGTAAAGGGGAGGCTGGATTTAGTATGCTTTTGGGTGGCCGTCTTAGAAGCCACCAGCGAATGGGGAACTGACGACAAAAGAAGTCCAGTTCATGTTTCAGTTGGTGTCAAAAGAAGTGCAAGTAGGCACTACTTTCACGGTGGGACCGTGACATAAGAATCACAGTCCGGGAAGGGAATGAAAATAAAACATAAAAATTGGTATATCTGAATTGGCCCTGACAAAGTTACCACGTTGTCTTCAAGATGTCCGCGGGGGCGGTGATCCTCCGATTGTTTAGCACGTGCGAGGCGGGGACACATTGGATAGCAATGCCGACACGATCTCGCCCCGGTATGATACGGAAAGGAAGATTGGTGTACAATCCACATGAATTTTTCTGAGAATGGGATGAGCCGCAGTTTTGGGATGGGAACATGAGGAAACCACCGCGGAGCTATATTTTCTTGATTGAACAGGAGCAACATATTGTGCGGTGTGATTTCCAGCCTCCTAATCCATCACGAGATTATGGAGACATGAATCCATCACATTTATGTGACTCTACAAGGGTAATAATAATAAATAAAAAAAAACAATCTTTCGTAGATAGGACCCACCAGATGGATAGTATTTGGATTACCCCGATGATTGCACTATCATACTTAGGCATTGACGGGTAATCACATGCAGGAAAACGCATATTGGAAGCAAGTCAGAGATGATTGTGGAGATGTGGTCGAGCCAAGAGTTCAAACTTCGGTCAGGAACCAGATCACTTGTTGATCTGCATGGTAGCAGTGGAATTTACTTGCAGAAGTTATTCATGGCAAGTTCAGTAGGCGTGATATAC